AGTGGGGCAGCACCTACCCAGTGAGTGGGGGGGGGCGCCACCTACCCAGTGAGTGTGGGGACGTGGGGGGTGTCTCCCCTCCACCAGGAGGCGGAGTAAATGGCAAGGCAGGGGCCAGGTCAGAGTTCGATTTGTATCTCCCCTCCAGCAGGGGGTGGTGTCACTCCAGTGGGAGGGGTTATGGGTCAGAGGTGGATTTCTCTCCCCTCCAGCAGGGGGTGGTGTCACTCCAGTGGGAGGGCCCGGGTCAGAGGTTATATTCTGTCACTCAGGGGGAGGGGCTTTGAGTCAGAGATTATATTCTGTCACTCCAGGGGGAGGGGCTATGGGTCAGAGGTTAATCTCTCCATCTCCTCCTCAGGGCTCTTTCTCTGGGTACTCGGACTCTACTCGCTATCCTGCGGAAGCCTTAGAGGGGCCGATCATCTCCGATGTGACGGAAGTGGCTCAGTCCAGCCCCTGCGTGTCCCCGAGCCCCAGCCTGGAGGAGAGGTGAGTCTGTGGTCTGATGGCCCCCGCGCTGCACATTGGACTGCCTCTGATGCGTGATTTCCCCTCATTGCAGTCCTGTCATCCTCATCAAAGAAGAGCCGCCGAGCAGCCCGAGCGCGTCCGAGCGCAGCCCCGTGTCACCGGAGAGCGTGGACAACGTCCTGTCACCTTCCACATTCATCGACTCCATCCTGCAGGAGAGCGAGCCCAGCGAAGGGACGGCCAAAGAGGGCGGAGCCATGCAGCCTGCAGAGCCCTGCCTGAGTGTGGCCAGACTGGACAAGTGAGTGACCGTTGTGTCTCCACTGCGGTGTGAGTGAGGACGCGGTCACGTTGGCAGGGAGTGAGGACGCGGTCACGTTGGCAGGGAGTGAGGACGCGGTCACGTTGGCAGGGAGTGAGGACGCGGTCACGTTGGCAGGGAGTGAGGACGCGGTCACGTGGGCAGGGAGTGAGGACGCGGTCACGTGGGCAGGGAGTGAGGACGCGGTCACGTGGGCAGGGAGTGAGGACGCGGTCACGTGGGCAGGGAGTGAGGACGCGGTCACGTGGGCAGGGAGTGAGGACGCGGTCACGTGGGCAGGGAGTGAGGACGCGGTCACGTGGGCAGGGAGTGAGGACGCGGTCACGTTGGCAGGGAGTGAGGACGCGGTCACGTGGGCAGGGAGTGAGGACGCGGTCACGTGGGCAGGGAGTGAGGACGCGGTCACGTGGGCAGGGAGTGAGGACGCGGTCACGTGACCGTGGGCAGGGAGTGAGGACGCGGTATCTCGTCCTTGTGATGTTCCGGGGGGGGGAGGGGCTGTGCGCCCCGTCATCTCTATCCCCTCATCCTTCTCTGTACACTTCTTCATATTTTCGGGTGTGCAGGGGCTGTACGTCAGATGGGGCCCCTGTGGCGCTGCGTGTCCTCTCTCTGTGTGTGATGGGGCCCCTGTGGCGCTGCGTGTCCTCTCTCTCTGTGTGATGGGGCCCCTGTGGCGCTGCGTGTCCTCTCTCTCTGTGTGATGGGGCCCCTGTGGCGCTGCGTGTCCTCTCTCTGTGGTTGAGTGGGGCATTCTTCATATTTTCGGGTGTGCAGGGGCTGTACGTCAGATGGGGCCCCTGTGGCGCTGCGTGTCCTCTCTCTCTGTGTGATGGGGCCCCTGTGGCGCTGCGTGTCCTCTCTCTCTGTGTGATGGGGCCCCTGTGGCGCTGCGTGTCCTCTCTCTGTGTGTGATGGGGCCCCTGTGGCCCTGCATGTCATCTCCCATTTCTTATGTTTGTCTCTTTCAGCATGACTTGCAGTCGGCAGATGTCCGAGGTGACCCACCTATTGCCCAGCTCCACGTGCTGCTCCTCCTCCTCCCTGCAGAGCAGAAGCGAGCCTGGGTTAGATCTGTTTTGTTTTGTTTCTGGGCCCTCGGGGGCCCCTCAGTCTGTCACATACACACCAGATAGAGCTGACCTCTCCGGCCTGATCTGTGTCTGGGGCCAGAAAATCCATGACCCGCCATGGGAAACCATGCATAGTCCTCCTGGTCCCCTCAGATCATTGGTCACTCTTCTTTAGCTCCTCCCCCCCCTTGCCCCGCCCCTCCTAGGTATATGCAGCTTATGATGGTCTCTTTACCCCTCCTCAGGATCGAGCTGAATGACCACGTGGACATTATAGACTCCGGCCTGGACAGTCTGCAGAGCATCTTCAACACGCACAACTTCAGTGTGGACTCCGGAGCCCTCCTAGACGTGAGTGTCCCCTATGGGTTCCATACATTCCTGACCCCTTCCTGGGTGGGTGTCCCCTATGGGTTCCATACATTCCTGACCCCTTCCTGGGTGGGTGTCCCCTATGGGTTCCATACATTCCTGACCCCTTCCTGGGTGGGTGTCCCCTATGGGTTCCATACATTCCTGACCCCTTCCTGGGTGGGTGTCCCCTATGGGTTCCCTATATTACTGACCCCTTCCTGGGTGGGTGTCCCCTATGGGTTCCATATATTCCTGACCCCTTCCTGGGTGGGTGTCCCCTATGGGTTCCATACATTCCTGACCCCTTCCTGGGTGGGTGTCCCCTATGGGTTCCATATATTCCTGACCCCTTCCTGGGTGGGTGTCCCCTATGGGTTCCATATATTCCTGACCCCTTCCTGGGTGGGTGTCCCCTATGGGTTCCATATATTCCTGACCCCTTCCTGGGTGGGTGTCCCCTATGGGTTCCATATATTCCTGACCCCTTCCTGGGTGGGTGTCCCCTATGGGTTCCATATATTCCTGACCCCTTCCTGGGTGGGTGTCCCCTATGGGTTCCATACATTCCTGACCCCTTCCTGGGTGGGTGTCCCCTATGGGTTCCATATATTCCTGACCCCTTCCTGGGTGGGTGTCCCCTATGGGTTCCATATATTCCTGACCCCTTCCTGGGTGGGTGTCCCCTATGGGTTCCATACATTCCTGACCCCTTCCTGGGTGGGTGTCCCCTATGGGTTCCATATATTCCTGACCCCTTCCTGGGTGGGTGTCCCCTATGGGTTCCATATATTCCTGACCCCTTCCTGGGTGGGTGTCCCCTATGGGTTCCATACATTCCTGACCCCTTCCTGGGTGGGTGTCCCCTATGGGTTCCATACATTCCTGACCCCTTCCTGGGTGGGTGTCCCCTATGGGTTCCATATATTCCTGACCCCTTCCTGGGTGGGTGTCCCCTATGGGTTCCATATATTCCTGACCCCTTCCTGGGTGGGTGTCCCCTATGGGTTCCATACATTCCTGACCCCTTCCTGGGTGGGTGTCCCCTATGGGTTCCATATATTCCTGACCCCTTCCTGGGTGGGTGTCCCCTATGGGTTCCATATATTCCTGACCCCTTCCTGGGTGGGTGTCCCCTATGGGTTCCATACATTCCTGACCCCTTCCTGGGTGGGTGTCCCCTATGGGTTCCATATATTCCTGACCCCTTCCTGGGTGGGTGTCCCCTATGGGTTCCATATATTCCTGACCCCTTCCTGGGTGGGTGTCCCCTATGGGTTCCATACATTCCTGACCCCTTCCTGGGTGGGTGTCCCCTATGGGTTCCATACATTCCTGACCCCTTCCTGGGTGGGTGTCCCCTATGGGTTCCCTATATTACTGACCCCTTCCTGGGTGGGTGTCCCCTATGGGTTCCATACATTCCTGACCCCTTCCTGGCTGGGTGTCCTGTTCCTGTTGCACCCAATGCTAGGTGTCCAGTCCCCGCCCTCGGAGCTCAGGCTCCTCCCCCATTCTATACACTGACCATGTTCCTGCAGCACCCAATGCTATGTGTCCAGTCCCCGCCCTCGGAGCTCAGGCTCCTCCCCCATTCTATATGCTGACCATGTTCCTGCTGCACCCAATGCTATGTGTCCAGTCCCCGCCCTCGGAGCTCAGGCTCCTCCCCCATTCTATACACTGACCATATTCCTGTTCCTCCCAATGCTATGTGTCCAGTCCCCGCCCTCAGAGCTCAGGCTCCTCCTCCATTCTATACACTGACCATGTTCCTGTTGCACCCAATGCTATCTGTCCATGTCCAGTCCCCGCCCTCAGAGCTCAGGCTCCTCCCCCATTCTATACACTGACCATGTTCCTGTTGCACCCAATGCTATGTGTCCAGTCCCCGCCCTCAGAGCTCAGGCTCCTCCCCCATTCTATACACTGACCATGTTCCTGTTGCACCCAATGCTATGTGTCCATGTCCAGTCCCCGCCCTCAGAGCTCACAGGTCTCCGCCTTCTCTTCCAGTTCTTCAGTTCGTCTCTGAGTGGGCCGGATCTGTCACTTCCTGACCTGGACTCCAGCCTGGCCAGTGTGAGTATCCGGGAGGGGGGAGGGGCAATGAGGATGAGACGTTCGTTAAAGGAAAACTCCGCTCTTGTCACATGATTGATATGGCACCCCGCAGACATATGCTAATTGAATGTCCCGGAACGGAAAGTTTTCCCCGCCCCTGATTTCTGAATCCTGCACCTACATTCCTGAAAGGGAACGGTTGGGTTATGCTGCCACCCGCAGGAGGATTGGGCGCAGGATTGGATTTGGCAAACCAGAAAAACTGTAGGCTATCCCAGCATGACTCCTCCTACTCCCAGCATTCCCCAGTTCCTCGGATGGAGGTGTGGCCTGTATTTCTTCAATCGGGTTTCCTGTTACATTATGGCTGCGTCAGTGCTCTCCAGGCCTCCTGCCATTGTCCTCCTGCCACTGCCATTGCCCTCCTGCCATTGCCCTCCTGCCATTGCCCTCCTGCCATTGCCCACCTGCCATTGCCCTCCTGCCATTGTCTTTGAAGGCCATTTGGGCTAAGCCCCGGGAGTCACCTTGTTGTTTGGGTCACTAAGCACCTTTAGAATCCCTTCTCTCTGTTGGTTTTAGCACTGGAGGGGTTAACGCTGAGGGATTGAGCGTGGACATCACCCGCTAGATGGAGTGTCACGTGTGCGCCTTCCCACTGCTGCTCTGCATGCATGGAAATCCGTGCTCCGTTTCTTCTGCCCACTCACAGTGACTTGATCACCACTGTTGGGTTCTTGAATGCCTGAGGCCTTGCCTCCTACCCCTCCTGTCCTCCTTGAGGTGCAACGTGTCTGATGGAGGATGGCCGGTCTCGCTCTACGAGGGGGCCTTCAGCTCACTTTCCAATGGCTCCCGTGCTGCTTGGCGGGCGCCTACTGATGCGGCTCCGAATGTTGCCTCTTTGGGGTCTTCTCTGTCAGGCGTGGCCCCTACTCTGTTCAGGGAGGATCTTGCTGCAGTCATGAAGGAGTTTATGGGCCACAAGTCCCAGTAAGCACATGTACCTGGGAGTTCCAGGTCTTCAGCGTGAAGGTGCACCCCCACATTCTAGTGATGGGAGGTCTGTGCGGACACTTGGACAGCCCGGATCTCAAATGTTTGGAAGATGGTTTCCAGGGGCTTGAATCTTCCTTTGTCACCACACAGATTAGCAGATGTCTATTCCTCCTAGTGGGAGGACTTCTGGAAGAGAGTGTCAGTGCCGGTGGTAGAATAGTTTCCGGGGTTTTACTCCAACTTGTTCCCAAGGGAAAAGGGGCCTCCATCTTATCTTGGATCTCAAGGCCCAGAAATGTCACATGGAACCTACCAGATCTTTCCCCAGGTTTGTCTCCGGGTACGGGAATCTTCCAGTGGCCCCATGGGATCAGTACTCCCTGATCCTCTGCCTTTCCTCCCTGGATGGAGATGGAGGACACGCCGGTGATCCTCGTAGCTCCTGTTTGGTTTGGGCAGATGTGGTACTGATAAGACTTCTGGTGGTGAACCCTCTGTAGACCCATCCGGATCATCAGACCTTTGTGCTGGGTGTCCCCATGTGGCTCTTCCTGTTTGCTCCCCTGAATTCGGTTTTGGTCTGGGATCTTCTGCTTTCTACTGTATGAGGGGGCATTTTTGGTGCCATCACCCATGTTAGATGAGCACTTCGGCGGGCAGCCTTCTCCTGTGAAGAAGCCTTTCTGGTCTTGTGGAAGGACAAGGTGGTGGTAAGGCTCCGAACTTCCTTCCTACCTGAGATAGTTTCAGCTTTTCGTCTCTGCCAGGATATCGTTCTTCCATCCCTCTGGTTCCAGGTCATCAGGTTAAGCTGTGAGAGTCTCTCTGGCAGCCACTGCTTCCTTCAGAAGGACCATACCTGAAGGTCCCTCTGTAAGAGTGACCCATCTTCTCATTCCACCGTCTCTTGGGTGGAATGGGGTGGCCATGGGTGACACGTGACTATGTCCTTCTGGAAGGGTTGGCCATGGGTAACACATGACTATATCCTTCTGGAAGGGGTGGCTATGGGTGACACATGACTATGTCCTTCTGGAAGGGTTGGCCATGAGTGACACATGACTATGTCTTTCTGGAAGGGTTGGCTCCGCAGTCCATCATTCAAGCTTCGGATCCCGAGGATTTCCCGTCCGTGTCTATTGGGCTCTTCGGCATCAGGTTTCGGTTTCTCAGACTTGCACGGCTGCCACCTGGTCTTCTCGTCGCACATTCTCCAAGTTTTAGCCAGGTGGATGTAGTGTCCTCATCTGATGTCCGCTGCAGGCACAAGGTCTTTGCCCTCCAGGCAGTCTCCACGAGAAAGAAGATGGGATTGTTGTACTCCCCGTGAAATCCCTTTTCTCGCAGTCTCTTGAGGAGCACGGGTCCCACCCCTCGGTGTTCAGGATCCTGCTTTTCATATTGCTTTGCTACAAAACTGAAGAATACTCGGCCTACGTTCTCTTTGTTGGTCAGGTTTGGACACTCAATGGACTCCAAAGGATTTTATGGTGAGTATGTCCTAATACCTTAGTAGAACTGATCATGTGATCATACTAGACACGGCCCTCACTCTGTAGCCTTCTCACTTCTGTCCCCAAATTGTAGTAGATTGGCCTGGAGAGGGTTGTTATTCCCTCAACAATAGTGGAGATCACTGTATTGAGGTGGAGCCATTACGGCCTCAGAAAGTCTATGTGGCCAGTCATGGTGTCCTTCTGGAAGGGTTGGCTATGGGTGACACATGACTATGTCCTTCTGGAAGGGTTGGCTATGGGTGACACATGACTATGTCCTTCTGGAAGGGTTGGCTATGGGTGACACATGACTATGTTCTTCTGGAAGGGGTGACTATGGGTGACACATGACTATGTTCTTCTGGAAGGGGTGACTATGGGTGACATGTGACTGTCCCTCTGGAAGGGTTGGCTATGGGTGACACATGACTGTCCTTATGGAAGGGTTGGCTATGGGTGACACGTGACTATGTCCCTCTGGAAGGGTTGGCTATGGGTGACACATGACTATGTCCCCCTGGAAGGGTTGTCTATGGGTGACACATGACTATGTCCCCCTGGAAGGGTTGTCTAAGGGTGACACATGACTATGTCCCTCTGGAAGGGTTGTCTAAGGGTGACACATGACTATGTCCCCCTGGAAGGGTTGTCTATGGGTGACACATGACTATGTCCCCCTGGAAGGGTTGTCTATGGGTGACACATGACTATGTCCCTCTGGAAGGGTTGTCTAAGGGTGACACATGACTATGTCCCTCTGGAAGGGTTGTCTAAGGGTGACACATGACTATGTCCCCCTGGAAGGGTTGTCTATGGGTGACACATGACTATGTCCCTCTGGAAGGGTTGTCTATGGGTGACACATGACTATGTCCTTCTGGAAGGGTTGTCTATGGGTGACACATGACTATGTCCCTCTGGAAGGGTTGTCTATGGGTGACACATGACTATGTCCCCGTGGAAGGGTTGTCTATGGGTGACACATGACTATGTCCCCCTGGAAGGGTTGTCTATGGGTGGGCGGCTCTGACGTTGTATTTTGTGTTGCAGATTCAGGAGCTTCTATCTTCCCAGGATCAGCGATCTTCTGAGACGGACCCGGAAGATGCAGGTATGATGTCCTCAGGCGGCGTGGGGAGGTGATTGGGGTGCAATCCTTTTATAATGAGCCGGAACTCATCAGATCTCTCGTTCCTCCAGGAAAACAGATCGTCCATTACACGGGGCAGCCCCTCATCCTGATGAACTCCTCCGCCTCAGATCTTCCCATTCTTCTGGAGCTGGAGGATGAAGATGACCCCACCCTGTCCCTCCTGTCCTGGGACTCTCAGAACAAGTCCGAGGGCTCCGGCGTCTCCTAACTTCTCCTGCTGTCTGGGGTGCTTTGAGTGGAAGGCAGACGAGAGGTGGCGCCCCCTGCAGGATGGTCTGGTGGCCGCTTTCCTCTCCTGTTCTGGGACAATGGACTCTGATATCGCAGCTTTCCCCTTCTGCTGTGTGTGGGGCGTCAGATTGCCGCCGTCGCCCGGCGCTCCCCGTGGCCGCTGCTGTTTGTGTTCAGACTTCCTGCTTGGGTCCGGAAAGGAGCAGACCGGCCCCCTTGAGACTCCGACTTTCACAGACTTCTAATTTGGAACCACCCCCCGGAAGGGTTGTCACCCCACTGACATGAGTGTGTGTGACCCCTGAAGGTCGTATTAAAGGGAAATCACGTCTCAGCTACTGTGGTGTGAAGAGCAATAAGATGGCGGCCATTACTTGGAGGAGCTGCTGGGGGAAGGGGGTGTGGGATGGGGGGGGGGACCCCACTAATATAAGTGCATGTGACTCCTGGAGGGCGAATCACAAGGTGAAGACATCTCAGCTTCTGTGCTGTACAAAGCAATAAGATGGCAGCCATGAGGGGGGAGGGGGACGTTGGAGGACGGTGATGGGGACGTTGGAGGACGGTGATGAGGAGGACGGTGATGGGGGACGCGTTTGAATTGTCGCACGCGTCGGGCAGTTCTCAGCACTTTAGCGTGCGCAGTGATTGAGTGTCCTCCATGCGGCCCAGCAGGAAGTAGATCCGGCCTTCGCACACAATGAACCCCGTGCCGAGGGCGCGGTGAGAGATCCCGGGAAGGCTCTGATTGGCTGGATTTGCGCAGTGGGCGGGGTGACGCGCAGTGTCATGGGGCGCAGTGGGCGGGGTGACGCGCAGTGTCATGGGGCGCAGTGGGCGGGGTGACGCGCAGTGTCATGGGGCGCAGTGGGCGGGGTGACGCGCAGTGTCATGGGGCGCAGTGGGCGGGGTGACGCGCAGTGTCATGGGGCGCAGTGGGCGGGGTGACGCGCAGTGTCATGGGGCGCAGTGGGCGGGGTGACGCGCAGTGTCATGGGGCGCAGTGGGCGGGGTGACGCGCAGTGTCATGGGGCGCAGTGGGCGGGGTGACGCGCAGTGTCATGGGGCGCAGTGGGCGGGGTGACGCGCAGTGTCATGGGGCGCAGTGGGCGGGGTGACGCGCAGTGTCATGGGGCGCAGTGGGCGGGGTGACGCGCAGTGTCATGGGGCGCAGTGGGCGGGGTGACGCGCAGTGTCATGGGGCGCAGTGGGCGGGGTGACGCGCAGTGTCATGGGGCGCAGTGGGCGGGGTGACGCGCAGTGTCATGGGGCGCAGTGGGCGGGGTGACGCGCAGTGTCATGGGGCGCAGTGGGCGGGGTGACGCGCAGTGTCATGGGGCGCAGTGGGCGGGGTGACGCGCAGTGTCATGGGGCGCAGTGGGCGGGGTGACGCGCAGTGTCATGGGGCGCAGTGGGCGGGGTGACGCGCAGTGTCATGGGGCGCAGTGGGCGGGGTGACGCGCAGTGTCATGGGGCGCAGTGGGCGGGGTGACGCGCAGTGTCATGGGGCGCAGTGGGCGGGGTGACGCGCAGTGTCATGGGGCGCAGTGGGCGGGGTGACGCGCAGTGTCATGGGGCGCAGTGGGCGGGGTGACGCGCAGTGTCATGGGGCGCAGTGGGCGGGGTGACGCGCAGTGTCATGGGGCGCAGTGGGCGGGGTGACGCGCAGTGTCATGGGGCGCAGTGGGCGGGGTGACGCGCAGTGTCATGGGGCGCAGTGGGCGGGGTGACGCGCAGTGTCATGGGGCGCAGTGGGCGGGGTGACGCGCAGTGTCATGGGGCGCAGTGGGCGGGGTGACGCGCAGTGTCATGGGGCGCAGTGGGCGGGGTGACGCGCAGTGTCATGGGGCGCAGTGGGCGGGGTGACGCGCAGTGTCATGGGGCGCAGTGGGCGGGGTGACGCGCAGTGTCATGGGGCGCAGTGGGCGGGGTGACGCGCAGTGTCATGGGGCGCAGTGGGCGGGGTGACGCGCAGTGTCATGGGGCGCAGTGGGCGGGGTGACGCGCAGTGTCATGGGGCGCAGTGGGCGGGGTGACGCGCAGTGTCATGGGGCGCAGTGGGCGGGGTGACGCGCAGTGTCATGGGGCGCAGTGGGCGGGGTGACGCGCAGTGTCATGGGGCGCAGTGGGCGGGGTGACGCGCAATGAAGACATCTCAGCTTCTGTGCTGTACAAAGCAATAAGATGGCAGCCATGAGGGGGGAGGGGGACGTTGGAGGACGGTGATGGGGACGTTGGAGGACGGTGATGAGGAGGACGGTGATGGGGGACGCGTTTGAATTGTCGCACGCGTCGGGCAGTTCTCAGCACTTTAGCGTGCGCAGTGATTGAGTGTCCTCCATGCGGCCCAGCAGGAAGTAGATCCGGCCTTCGCACACAATGAACCCCGTGCCGAGGGCGCGGTGAGAGATCCCGGGAAGGCTCTGATTGGCTGGATTTGCGCAGTGGGCGGGGTGACGCGCAGTGTCATGGGGCGCAGTGGGCGGGGTGACGCGCAGTGTCATGGGGCGCAGTGGGCGGGGTGACGCGCAGTGTCATGGGGCGCAGTGGGCGGGGTGACGCGCAGTGTCATGGGGCGCAGTGGGCGGGGTGACGCGCAGTGTCATGGGGCGCAGTGGGCGGGGTGACGCGCAGTGTCATGGGGCGAATATGTTAGGGAATTTTTTTTTTTTAATCAGAAGTCAACTTTATTGTCCATCTGCACGGTACAATGGTACAAGGAGGTCACGCCTCCAACACAAGACCGCATCCTCAGTACAAATCTGGGACATAGGATAAGTACATAGAACACGTCATATAGCCGCGGCGGCGGTACTTAAAGGAGAACTATGAGGGGGGGGGGAGGGGCTTGTCACTCACCTCATAGCTCTAGCCGGCCTGTGACAATGACACTGTCACAGGTCGGCTCAGTAGATCGGGAACACATACCGGCGCTCGCTCACTTCTCGATCTATCCGTGCAGAGAGCCGTGACAGGGAAGGGACTGGATTCCCCGCTCCGATCCGCCAGCGCTGACTGGCGGAACGGACGGGGGAGGGGGCGGGTACAGCCTCTAGATAGGAGGAGCCAGCTGTCACTCACGCAGCTGAAGCGGATCCAGGGCACAATTGTCGGGATCCGCTCCGGCTGCGGCGTCTCAGTATCCCGCGAGCTGTAGCTCCCTATATACTGAGCCTGGGGTGACGGGAGGACGCGAGTTTGTGTCCCCGAGGAGGACTATGGGGGGAAGCCCTGACCTCGGAGTTCTCCTTTAACAGTGTAAGAAAATGTTGCCAAGAACACATTGGGGTATAATGCGAGGTCATACAATGAGAGTCACGCTGGCCTCGCGGGGCGTCCGGTACCGGGGCTGTTCCATCGGTTAGTCGCATTTGAATTTATCAACGTTTCCTGTCACATGAAAACCGGTGTAGAAAATATTTTCAAGTGTTTAGCACCAATGGGGGGGAAAGGGGAGATTCAGCGGGGGATAGGCAAGAGGGAGTAGCGAGGATATGGGGTCAGGCGTTTAGTATCTGGGTCTCTACTAGCGTTCGGGGGGGGGGCATTGCAGCCATGGCCCGATGATCCGTGTCCCGTGGTCTCCAGGTGGACCGAAAAAAGAGCTCCTCAGTGTGGTGGCCTAAGCGTGGAGTTCAGGTCTTCCATCAGGTAGGTCTCGTCAACCTCGGTGAACCCCCCAGCCTGAGGGAGGGGGGCCGCACGTTTGCTTCCACAAGAATGCGATGCATTGGCGGGCAGCGTTCAGGAGGGGCCTAGATGGGGATATTTTGTATTCCCCC